TTCTCTCCCATTTTGTATGTTGTCCCCCCCCCCCCATTCATTTTAGATTCTTCTTACCTCCACACAGCTAGTGTTCAAACACGCATCTACATCTCAAAGGGAAATATATCTAGGAAGAAAATCGTTTTCCTATGTCTGTACTTGTAGCTAAGGAAACTGGTTATACAAATTGCCCTTGTGGCTAACAAACTATAGCAATCGTTTATCCTTTTAGCCTCAATAATTTGTGAACTCAGGTAAACCCAGGTTTATGTTTGAGTCACTTGCCAGTTTGGTCACATAAACTGATATTTACTCTTTCTGTGTTCATCCCCTCCTTTATGTGGGTCATGGCACCACTCCAAATCGCTTGAGGCATGATTTGATGTCCAAATGTCTAGAATGAGACACTGCTGCTTTGCCCTGTTAGCTCAAGATCAGGGGTCTGATTTATACAGTAATGTTGCATATGTGCAAAATGGGCATTGAAGTTTCCCCCACACACATCAGAACGAAAGAAACAGAATGGTTTAAATGTACAAAAATAAATATGTACCACAATAAATAAGTAAATATGTTGTGGCTTTATCAGCATAAAAATCAATGTTGACAATTATAATATGAAGAAAACGCTTATACACTTTGCACATTTTATTTTAAAAAGTAATTTTAGTTATCTGCAGATGACAGATAATATACATTTACATTTAAGATATATTTTTTGACATCTTTCAAATGTATCTTGTTTTAAATTTGCCATGAAATGAAATATTTTCTAAATGTATGTTAATAGATCTTATTGTGAACAATTCATACTTGCTTATGTATGATTTTTTATTTATTTTTTACTTTTGACCTTGTAATCTTTATTCAAAATGTCATATGTAGGACTTCTCCAATAATTTAGACTGCTTAAACCCCACTCCCTGCAAGCTCAAGTTCAGTGGTGGCGAACTCCGGTCCTGGAGAGCCGCAGCCCTGCAGAGTTCAGCTCTAACCCTAATTAAAACTCCCCCGCCTGTAGCTTTCTAGTAACCCTTCAGACCTTGATTAGCTTGTTCAGGTGTGTTTGATTAGGGTTGAAGCAAAACTCTGCAGGGCTGCGGCTCTCCAGGACTGACGTTCGCCACCCCTGCTCAAGTTCATCTGCTGCTACTTTTGTGTGCAACGCCCACATCTCGAAATCCAATCAAATAACGATACATAGAATGAAGTCCCTGCCTACACTGTTACTTTTTTTTTGTTTTTTTGGGGGATAATCTGTTACATTTGGATGTACGTCACAGTCCGGAAACAAGATCTGTCACTACTTTCATCACAAATTTAATTATAGGAAATAAATTTTGACTGGAAAACAAGACAGATTCCAAAGAAGAAATTGATTAGCAGTATAATATCTCTCTTATCTGCGCTCCTAATCTCCAAAGCTTCACAAACTCGATAGGCCGTTGGCTCCAGAATAATAGTAAAATCATCCTTGGTGTTTGTTTGCTTCAGATCAAAAGTGAACCTTCCACTCACCCTGCTGATCGAGAAGGTGAAGCCGGGCTTGCCTGAGCACACACCCATGAAGCAGAATCGCAGTTGCCAGTAGAAGAGGTGCTCTGCGATGAATGTGATTAGGGACAGGGCCATTGCAGCTCCCAGCATGTAGAACACACCTGCCATGTTGTCTACATCCAGCTGACTGCTCATCACCTCATTTTTCTCATTGTGGCAGATGCCAGTCAGCCACAGGGCCTCAAGTTCCTCCATCTCACCTACAAAGTAGGACAAAAAAAAGATTGCACTTTCTAGCATTTGAATGTGGGTTAGAAAAAGAGTGATTGTTTGTGCATCTTTGAATTTTTACTTTCTGCCTCTCCAGCTGTGTGTTTTGTGTGTCTGTGGGCTTCGAGTGCTCTTGAGCTTTACTGTTAGCTGACGTGTCTGTTCACGTTTGTCTGTCCCTGACGATTTCAATGCGTTTCAGCACTGCATTTATTTAGAGCCCCCACAAAACTGTGCACAGTAAACAAATTACGGCCCCTGTGAAGTGTAACATTTGTCATGACGGATTAATCCAACTCATACACACTGAAGCTCTCTTCTCATTAATGATTGCTTATGGGAGTCACTTGAGATTTGGTTCCCAGCTCTAATAAGGGTCCTAAGGGGCCTGACAGCCCGCATAGGAGGGACAGGATCAAACTCCAAAACACCATTCGGTGTTCTGCAGGTCTGTCTTTAGGGACGAATGCAGATACACACAAATATACTTCTTCTCATACTCAATAATACACACACAAAAAAAACACACATGCAAAAGGATCCATCCATTCAGTGGCTGCAGTTCTATGCCACACTAGGAACTGTAGTCAGTGACTTTAGCTTTCAAATCAGTCAAAAACCCAACACCTATGTGAGGGTGAATGTGCGTGCGTGTGTTCACATGCTGTGCCGGTGGATTCATGTGTACCTTCATGTATATGTCACACAGTTGATGCCTTCCCAGTGTACTTTTGAGATAACACAAGCGCCTCCTTGACACTTGCAAATATGACTCTATTCTTGCTACTGGATCATATGCTGGATTATATTACATGTGATACACCCAACCGTACCTTTCTGATTCCATACTGCTATCAGTGTGTTGAACCAAGGTGCACTGCCTGCTTGTCAATATGCACCTTGCCACTGATCTAATCTAATGCGTCCCGCTTGCATGACATACCATGCACGCATGAGGAATCATTAAGTAGGGCATATATTATATAAATATGTCCACAAGCCAATCTGATAGATTTTTCTATGACTGTGCCCATACACAGTATCTATAAGATCTCCTTACAAAATGCCATCTTAAGTGTCTAAAATTATTAACACCGTTTATGCGTGTATGGGGTGCATAGGGCATGTTCTGCATGTGTCTTTGGATGTGTTCCAAACAGCTTGTCATCTCAGATGCAGTTTGGGGAAGAGAGGATGATTTCTAGAAATGGCCCCTGGATCTGGATCACTAGGAAAGCACTCGAATCAAACTGAATTAGAGATGTGGAGATAAACACTTTTCAATGCTATACATCTATTGCTGGTACAGTACAGCTATTATAGTTACTTAGTACATTAGTATTAGTATTAGTATTAGAATTAGTATTCTATATATATTGTATACTAATTACAAATACAAATTTACTTATACACATTTTAAAATGTAATTGATTCCTGTGAAGGTAAAACTGAATTTTCAACATCATTACTCCAGTCTTCAGTGTCACATGATCCTTCAGAATATAATATGCAGACTTGCTGCTCAAAAAACATTTCTTATTATTATCAATGTTGAAAACAGTTGTGCTGCTTAATATTTTTGTGGAAGCCGTGATCATTTTTTTTCAGGATTCTTTGATGAATAGAAAGTTCAAAGGACAGCATTTATTTGAAATAGAAATCTTTTGTAACATTATAAATGTCTTTACTGTTACATCTGATCAGTTTAATGCATCCTTGCTGAATAAAAGTATTCGTTTTTTAAATATAAATTTATATAATTGCTACAGTAAAATTTGCTTCATATTGGCAAATCTCATATTCCCATCGACAATTTAAATTTGTACATTGCTTATTTACACATTTTCCCTTCCATATTTAATGCAACTATATACTGTATTTTATATAATAATCATGAACGTCATATCCATTGTGCAAACAGACTAATATGAAAGAAAACTTAAAACACCTTTAGCTTTACTTTTGCATCACCTGTGCAACCTGTGTAACCTATAGTAATTTATATTATTACAAAGTATATTATGAGATGAGTCCTTGATTTGATGAGTACATTAATATGCTTTAACAGAATGTGAATCTCCCACAAAGGAAGCTTGGAAAAACAGGATGCCATATTTTCACACATCTATCGTTACAATTTTGTGGCATAATTGTTGGCGTTCTAACAGACAGTGTCGGCACTTGTCATCTCTTGCCAGGTATTCTTCAAAACTGTTTGCCTTGAGGGCACATTGAGAATCATTTAAAGAAGAAGTGATTGAAGTAACATCTTAAGCTGTGAATTCTCTACACATTCGCGCCACTTTTGTAAACAGGATTTAATCGGAAAAACCGTCTTATTCATTAACCACCCATAATCCATTTTAACCAGGCGCTGTCTGCTATCTTTTATAACCTTGCATCATGCAATTCGCTCAGTTGAATTTTTGGGCGTGTCTGTGCGGTCACGAAACTCGCAGAATTTTTTTAGTGAATCAGATGCTAAAACAATGTAGACAACGCAGATTCATTGTGAATTTCCCCTAAATATCTGTAATCTTGAACTAATTAATGCAGATTAAAACTGGTGGCTAATTCATCATATAAATAAAATTTTAAAAAAAATCAGTCTTTACCATCTCCAAAGAGCTGCAGAATGGCGAGGTCCACTGCCCTCTTCCAGCCTGAGTCTTTCTGAATGGCAATGCCATACCCTGTAGTAGCAAAGATATAACCACTGCCGATGGTCACCAGTTTACAGCCTTCATCACGTCCGGCCATGTAGTTCAAGACCGCTGCGTCGTAGATGAATGCATCCAATTTACTACACGGAGAGGGAGAGGAGTCATATGTTAGAATGTTGGTAAGGCCTTGTCAAACATTAAACACTGGCAAACCAGTGTTATTTTAGTATCACTGATATACTTAATATACTTTTTGTCATTATTTAAATTTTTTGTTTTATATTTACAGCTTTCATTTTTTCAAGTTTTAGTAATTTTGTTTTTTGTCACTTTTATTAGTTTTAGTTTGTGTGTGTGTGTGTGTAGTTTTTGTTAAGATTTAGTTTATTTAGTTATTTTAATGTTTCAACTGTAAACAACGAGTGATTTTGCTTTGGCAACTAGCTGTAATCCAGTAAGTTTTTGTTCTTTTATATTACTTTATTTCACTTAATGCTTATTTCATTTCAAGTAATGACATTTCTTATGGTTTTAGGTTTAGTTACCGATAATTAACCTGTGCCAAACACATCTGTGTTACTTTTTTTTTTTCTTCTGGTCAGCAACAAATAAACAGCTAAATGGTATTGTTAAAAAAATAAAAAAAATAAAACATATTTCCTGGGAACTGTGTGTTGGAAATGAGGGGTAACTTCAGGTAACCCGCCAGCACTTTAGGACAAAGTTTAATGTCAAGACATAGTGTGGTGTCCTAAACTATACCTAAAACTGATTTTAACAGCATTTTGCTATTTCTTGTATCTAATTATTATGCATCTTTTATGAGCTCATCTTAAGTGAGAGACTACATGGAATTTGTACTTTTAAAAATTAATTTGTCAAACTGAAAGACCATTTAAAACCAACTTGAGAAGTCAAAAAGGTATTTAAAAATGCTTAAAAACTATGACTTACTGCAAGATATGTCTGTAGTTTAAAAAAACAACAACAACACTTTATTATAAGGTCTCATTAGTTAATGTTAACGCATTACATAAGCATTAAACAAGCAATGCATTTGTTACAATATTCATGAAAGGGTTACTCCACCCCAAAATGAAAATTTTGTCATTTATCACTTACCCCCATGCCGTGTGGTGCGGCTGACACAGACAAGTAGAACAGCATACGCAGTTTACGTTCAGTGGATACTCTCCAAAATGGCGCTACGGTGACGCAGAGGAGACGAATTGTTGAATAAAGTCGTTATTTTTGTTTTCTTTGCATACAAAAAGTATTCTCGTCGCTTTATAAAATTCAGATTGAACCACTGATGGCAGATGGACTATTTTGACGATGTCTTTCATACTTTTCTGGACCTTGACAGTGTAATTTACTTGGCAGTCAATGGGACAGTCACAAGCCTCCTGGTTTTCATCCAAAATATCTTAAATTGTGTTCCGAAGACGAATGAAGCTTTTACGGGTTTGGAACGACATGGGGGTAAGTGATTAATGACAACATTTTCATTTTGGGGTGGAGTAACCCTTCAATATTTGTTAGTGTTAGTTAGTAAATACAACTGTTCATTGGTAGTTCATGCTAGCTTAGGTTCATTAAATAATATAAACAGATAGCTGCAACTTTTGATTTTAATATTTTTTTGTATATTTTAGTATTAGTGAATGTTGAAATTAAAAGTAACTAAGATGCTTCTGAATTATTTTTCATTGTTAGTTCATGTTATCTAATGTAGTTAACTAATGTTAAAGGGGTCATATGATGCAATTTCATTTTTTCCTTTCTCTTTGGAGTGTTACAAGCTCTTGGTGCATAAAGAAGATCTGTAAAGTTGCAAAGACTAAAGTCTCAAATCCAAAGAGATATTCTTTATAAAAGTTAAGAGTCAGCCACACCTACCTAAAACGGCTCGTTCGAACACGCCCCCACATATCTACGTACAGAATGTACAGTATGTGGAAAATAATGTTTTTTTTTTACTTTAAACTGCATAAACACATTTCATTACACCAAATACACAAAATAATGTTCTTTTTAGCAGCATCATATGACCCCTTTAACAAATGGAACTTTGTGTTACCAATAAATCTGTAGTTTAAAATGATGTATGCTCACATGGAATGAAGACTCCTAATAAATGCTTTTATGTAGCTTTTACATCTTTTACATAAAGTAGGTTGCATCCAATGAGCTGCCATGTTGAGACTACATGACCAGCTAAAAACTATTAGCTTTATCCTGGTAAAAGTTTCAGTTAGTCCAACATGACAGTCATATCAACCAGCATAATATGAACAAAAAAATTGTTGAATAAAAAAGTCCTGATAAAGTAAAGGACAGTCAAATAAAACCAGTCTTTACCAATCAGCATCTTTAAACAAAGTCCCTTCAGGATGCCTCATTTTGATGCTATTATCAATCCAGAGTTCATCCACCCACCCACTTATTCACACACTGTAGTTACTGCTGTCCTACAAGCTTTTCATCTCCCTGTCTTCCCACCCTTTATATTCTTTTCATGCAGATATCATCTTTCTCTCTTTTCATTCTCACCCCGACTTCAGGCTGTGGAGGGCCTCGTTTACGTTCTTCTGGTGGAAGCTGGTCATATAGGAGTGCATCTCTTTGTAGTTGTTCCTTATGTTTCTCTCTGTGCTGCCATTGGGCACAGTACCAAAGCGGAATGGAGGGGAGAAGTCATTCGGATGTTGAAACTAGATAAAAAGAGAGAGAGAAATATATATATATAACTCAGCGGTGTCCACATTGTCAATGAACACTCAAGGGACAAAGTGTGAGGAGAGGTGTCATTTCAAAAACCTTTAAAGATACAACAGATCTTTTTTTCCATCATTCATAATAGAACTATTTCCAGTGTAAACACACAGACTATGTTCTCTAGACACTCAAAGCTTTGCTAGACATATAAAGTAAAGCATGACTTAGAGTAAAAAACAAAATCTCACCACATTAATTATTAAAGAAGCTACAGCACCCTCTCAGAGTCAAATCTTATTTTCTGTTTCATAACGGTTGGCTAATTCACATTAGCCCAATTTTTTTACACGCAAAGATGACATGAAAAAAATAAATAAAAAATTAACACAAAACCAGTCAGCATGTGGTTGCCCAAATATGTCTAACCCTAACTCACATCATTGGTTAAGCCAAAAGCTGAAAAAAGCAACATTTTTAAAGGCCGCATGAAATCAGAATGGACTTTATTTACTTTACTAGCGCACATTGCTAGTCTTGATGTGAACAATTAATCCGTGCAAGTTAATCTGCTGAAAAAAATTTTTGTTTTGGTAATCTTGAATCAAAATCTGAACATTTACTTCCGCTCTGGAATTGCATTCCTTCTCTGATGACGTCAGTTTGACGGCTTGGGCAGAATATCCTTAAACACACCCCTCCAACCGTTAGTTTGCTATGAGTGAGAGATGAGAGGAGGAGCGCAAAAATAAAACCACGCCCTCTCCTCAATATTCCGTTTCAGCTGGAAATACGTCACTTCACTGAAATAAAGTCGGCAGCAACTTCCGGTTCACGTGGACTTTAAAGCACCAGAGCCTCAGAAAACCCACAAATGGCTTACACATAGCTGCCTTTGCACATTAAACTGAGACAGAAGAACATTTTATAACATCAAAAAAAAAATTACACAGTGCACCTTAAATATTTAATCATTTATTGGCTAGTCCGTGCGAATTAACCTTAGCTGTTTAACACCAAGGATAAAGTAGAGTCTGTTGTATCAAGTCAAGTCACGTTCATTTCAAGGCAGTCTTTGGGGGGAAAAAACAGCTTTTTATGTTCTGGAGGTGGAATAGATCTAATTTTTTGACAGTAGGATAAATGAGATCAATGAGAACTATATTTTTAATAACAGCTTTCAGATGCCCATGCTTCACTTTTGCACATGCTGTTGAATTTGACCAATAAACCTTGTTACCTTTTTATCACTCAGGCCAGTCACCTGGTCCACATATTCCTCTTGAATCATAAATGCGGCCAGGTTGGCAGTGTAGCTGGCCAGGAAAATCACAGCGAAGAAGGCCCAGACCGAGACCATGATCTTGCTAGTAGTGCCTTTGGGGTTCTGCACGGGCACAGAGTTATTGAAGACCAAACCCCAAAGTAGCCAAATAGCTTTTCCAATGGTGAAGGAAGGACCGCCAGGCTCTGATGGTGTGTAAAGAGGTAGAGAAATTGAAATAGAGAGTTATTACTTTATAATTTAATAGGAATAAGAGAGGAGTAAAAGGGCAGAGGAAGAAAATCCATAAGAAGTAGCCATAAATTAACTATTCAGTTTTGATTTTAGTCAAAAGAATCAATAATATTCAGACAAGCAGTGGATTGCTGAAACCAGCCAATACAGCACAGAAAGGTGGATATAATGTCCATTATAGTCATTAAATGTGTGTGTGTGTGTATATATATATATATATATATATACACACATTTAATGACTACAATTATTAACAATTTTTAGATGGCTAGAAAATGAAGACATAAAACTAGATATACCAAATGTATGCTGGTGTCATGTATAAGGGCTATAGATTTGTGTGTTGGATTGCTGAAACCAGCCAATACAGCACAGAAAGGTGGATATAATGTCCATTATAGTCATTAAATGTGTGTGTGTGTGTATATATATATATATATATATACACACATTTAATGACTACAATTATTAACAATTTTTAGATGGCTAGAAAATGAAGACATAAAACTAGATATACCAAATGTATGCTGGTGTCATGTATAAGGGCTATAGATTTGTGTGTGTGTGTGTGTGTGTGTGTGTGTGTGTGTGTGTGAGTGAAAGCGTGTGTGCACACCTCGTCCATCTGCCAAGCAGCGATTATAGCCAACAGGACTGAAGTACTCAAAAATGAAGACAGCCACAGCTGAAACTATCAACAGCATAACGAACATCATTACCCAGACATCAGCGCTGAAGGGCTCTGAGTGCAAAAAAAGAAGCGAAAATAAATTAAGAGCGCACTTGAATTTAGAATTTTATCATTAATGCCATTACATTATTTAGTGTATTTAGTACTTACCTAAAAAGGCAGAAGGTGACACTGTGCCATTGCTACGAGAGACCATGACACTAATTCCCGTCTCTATGAAGGGCACAGAGAAGTCAATGACCTCTGACCTCTCTTCATTAATGGTCAGGGACCCCACTGCCATGTGGGCATTCTTCAACACCACCTAGACATGAGGAAAAGGGGCAGTTATACCGAACCTGGACTAGTCTGGGCATGCCGCGACAGAGGGGGAAAAAAGCAACAGTGTGAGAAGAAAAGGCTGAAAGACATATAAAATGGGAACTAGTGAATGAAAATACCATGAAGAAAAAAAACAAGACTGTGAGACCAAGGAAGGTAGAAATCAGGTTACTTCCCACAGTGGGGCGCAGTAGTTTTTAATAGCCATTTCTCCTTCATTTCAACATTTCCCTAATCACTGCATCCCTAAACCCATCACTTGTCCAGGTATATTTAGAGTTACATATGAGGGGCCTCCGGTGATATAGGAAAATGGGACAAAACAGAGTTAATAAGGAGAATGTATGCTACAGGAAGGCTTTGTCTACATCAGGCCTACTCATGGGGCCACAAAGCCGGATCTCTTTAGCCTCGAGGGCTGCACTCCTAATTTTTATAGTGCCTCTGTTATATTAATAAGACTACTGAGTGTTATACACAACCATGTATCAAACTAAATCACTTCCATTATAATCAATGAAGCTGTACTGTAAGCGGTCATCTGTGGCACAGTTTGCAGAGTGGACTATAGATTTCTGCTTGGTGTCAGATTTTTTAAAATTGCTCTGTGGATTTACTATGGTATATAGCAGAATCTCTAAAAACATGCGGGCCACAAGAATGCCCTGTGGGCTGCATGTTGAGTAGTTGCTTTCTATATCCTATTTTCTTTCTCTGCCTTTTCAAAATATGAGACTATATTTTGCATATTTGCTTGATTATGTGTTGCGTTATAGCATCTATCACTGAACATGAGCATGTCTTGGAGCATTGGATCTCTAAAAGACATTAAGTAAACATAAAGCAAGCTACTACGAGTCTGCGGCTCCAAATGTGGTGCAGTTCTCAGAGTATTCCTATGACTAGGACCGAAAGGGAACTGCATAACATTCATTTCAACTGTGGATTTACATATGATCCTGTAACTCATATTATTTCTCATCTGAATTAATGCACCAGCTGTATTTTCCCTTGGGCTTGTGCAAACTCACTTGCTCACATTTTCTCTCTCTTTCATCTGTTCTTGTCATGAGAGATACTTTTCAGAATTTCATTTTTTTGAAAATAATATATAATCAAAAATCCATAGATGTTCCAGAACTGTCCTAGTGGTTACTGTACACTGAGGCATGAAGGGTTATTGTCGTTAACTAAAACTAAAACCACAAAAAAAGTTAATTACTTGTAATAAATTATCAAAATTTGTTAAACTGTTGTCAGCAAAATATAATTTTTTAATGTACTGTAATATGCATAACTACAGCGTGAAGAAAACAAAGCATACAGTTGAATATGCTCCTCTCATCCATAATATGCAGGGGTATAATAGAACAGGAAGAACAAAAGTGTATGATCCAGCAAGCTCTTGAATGAAAAACAACCTATTCAACCCAAACTCTATGTGTTTGTCCACAATCCAGTGGGCCATCCTCTGCTTAGAGACGGCCTTCCCCTACTACCGGCCTCCGTAACAGACAAAGAGCTGGTCTGAGGTCCGAAAGCTTTATGTCCGGTCTACGTAGCATCTCAAGGCTTGGACGGGACAGAGCAAAGCTAGGGCTGGGTCTGCCTCCTCCGGGGGCAGCGCTTGCAGGCTCACCACCTGATCCCTGAAGGGAGTA